TCTTTTTTTGAACAAGAACTAGATTTGCTAACTACTCAGGATGATACACTTCTTTAATAAATCTGGCTGCTAGGAGCCATTTTATTTCTACCCTAATAGCCTCCTTCTTGTCTGGCACAAATCATCGGAGCTTCTGCTTGATTGGTTTGGCGGTCGGTGAGACATTCAAGGAGTGCTCGATCTTCTCCCGTGGTACCCCCGGCATGTCTGCAGGTTTTCAAGCAAACACATCGGCGTTGGCATGTAGGAAGGAGATGAGCGCACTTTCCTATTTAGGGTCAAGATGAGCCCCAATCTTGACGGTCTTGGTGGGGTCGTCAAGGCTGAGGCCGACCTCCTTCGTTTCCTTAGACTTGGTGGAGGCACGAGGAGGCTCCAGCGCTGGGATCTCTAGGTCATCGGTGACCACGCTGGCCATCTGGATGGACAGGTCGGTGGCTTCAGCAAGGGAGAGACTCTCTGTTTTGCAGGCGTAGATGATGGAGAGGTTGGCCCGCAGGGCTAGAACTCCTACAGGCGAAGGCATCTTCAATACCAGATAGGCATAGAGCGGTATGGCCATGAACTTAGCCAGAGCTGGCCGACCAAGTATGGCGTGGTAGGCGGTGCTGAAGTCAGCGACGTAGAAGTTGATGTGCTCAACACGGAAGTTGCTAGCCATGCCAAATTGTACCGGGAGGGTGATCTCTCCAAGCGGTCGCGATGCCCTATCTGGTACCACCCCCCAGAAGGAGGAGTCAGAGGGAGTAAGGTCTTCTACTCCAAGGCCCAGCTCCTTTAGGGCTCCGACGAAGAGGAGGTTCAGGGCGCTTTCGCCGTCGATGAGTACTTTCCTGAAGAGTACTTTCTTGACGGTTGCATCGAGAACGAGGGGGAAACGCCCTGCATAAGGGATGTCCACCCACTGGTCAGACCTACTGAAGGTGATGGGGACTTTAGACCAGGGGTGGTAGCTAGGGTCAGTGATAGCATCTTCTGTGTTGACGGCGAGCACCCGGCAGGCGGTGAGTTTTCGATCTCTTCTGCTCTCAGCGGCGGCGATGCCCCTGAAGATAGTGGCGACCACTTTGTCATGATCCTAGAAGGCGTTATTGTTGTCCCCAGGTGGTCGACGACCTCTGGCTCCGTCGTTGTTGTCATCGTCCTTCTTTTTCGCCTAGAACTCCTTAGCCAAGCCAAGGCAGTCCTTCATCTAGTGCTTGCTGTTCTTGTGGAGGCAGCACGGGCCTTCGAGGATTTTCTTGTACTGCTCGTCGTAGTTATGTTTGGCGCGAGGTTCGTCAACGGTGGCGACGATGTTGTCTAGTCGGCGGCGGCGATACTGACTAGCATTAGACCCTTTCAGCCGGTCGTGGCCACTATCATGATGGTGGCCGCAGTCGTCGTAGCGGAGGTCACTGTGGCGTCGTTCGTCGGGGCGATCATCGCTGCAATGAGTTGGGCGGTGAGTGCCCCCATCCTCGTTGAAGTGAACTTCGGCCTCTTCATTGTCGGCGTACTGATCATCGGTCATTATCATCTCACCAATCCCCTTTGGCGGCTTACGATTGAATTTGGAGCAGAGGTCGCGGTGATGGAGTCCTCTCCTCGGACAAAGGCAGTGATGGCTTCTACTTCTGTGATGTTGGGAATAGAATTCCTCATCTCGGAAAATCGTCTGATGTAACTACGGAGGAGCTCGGACGGTTTTTGATAAATGCGATTCAGATCGTGCTTGGTGCCCGGCCGAGTACACGTAGCCATGTAATTGTCGATGAAGACCTTCTTCAACTGCTCCCAAGATTTGATGGAATCTGGGGCGAGGCTTGTCAGCCAGTTCATTGCGGTCGGTGTGAGAATGACGGGAAGATAGTTCGCCATGACACTGATATCTCCCCTGGTGGCGCGCACAGCGGTGGCATAAGCTTGTAGCCACTATGTGGGGTTCATCCGCCCCTCGTAGGGCTCGACCCCGGTGATTTTGAAACCACGGGGCCACTGGAGTGTTTGGAGTGCTCTCGTGAATGATCAGGGCCCATTGAAATCATCACTATCGAGATCTGCAGCATTGTCGACGTTAAGTGGCTAAAGGGCAGCATCCGAATTACCGAACTCTTGCTCGTATTCTTGACATCGGGGTACTTCCTCCTCATGCCGAGAGAAACGGCGCCCATCGATATGACGTTGTGCATCCTGGAGGTTGTTGATGTGTGCTCGGACATCTTGATCGACTTCTTGGTCATGTTGGTGAGGGTAGTTGATGCGGTTCCCCCTAGCTCCCCCCTGGAGGGGTTGTCCATCATCATGATGTCGGTCGGCGAAACGGCTTCTGCCGGGGCGGCGATCGGATCTTGGCGTGGCAGATCGGCGATTCGAGCTTGTCAAGTAAGAAGGTCCCTGATCCTGGCGGATCTGGTTGACCTAGCAGTGCGCAGCTTTAAGCATTGCGGCGACCTTGGTGACTTCTGGCGTTTGCTCGAGCCGAGCGAGCTCATTAGCGGCCACGGCCAAGTTGGCCCTTGGGGTCTTGTAGACATCATGGCCGTCGACACGGACAAATTCATCGTCGAGGTTGTAGCGGAGTAGGCGTGGCCTCCCTTATGAGTCGAGTTGTTCCTCGTTGCGAGCAGCCTCGGCTAGCGCAATGGTGGCCTCATTCACTCAGCACTGCGCACGGTTGGTGTTTCTGTTGACACTAGCTATGCGGTCCTCATCGGTTTCTCCATCCCGTGGAGGGCTGTGGATGCTGACATTAAAGATCCCGCCTCCACAGAAGGGTGGAAAAGGAGGTTGGATGGCGGCGATTTTGGTGACAATCTCCATAGAGCCCTGGGACTCAGTCTAGATTTTCCTCCATGATGGTGTGGAGGGATTCTTTGGGACGTTGGCCGATTTGCAGCATGTTGACAGTCGGCAAGAGCTGGTCGGCGATCGGGTCGGCGAGAGGGTAGATGTCTCCCATCTGGTCGGTGAACTTGTCCGTTAGGGCATCCTGATGGATGGTGGCGGTATCCCCTAGAGTTTCCTGTTTGGCTTCCGTTAGATCGGAACCGGAGTGTGGTCGGCGCCGAACTGGAGTGGTCAGAGCCGATTCCGCGATGGAGAGGCAGTCGGCGAGCTTCTGGCCAACCTAATCAATGGATGCGATCAGATCGTCGTTGCCGATCTGCTTCCTTGGGTAGCGGAGGAGCAAGCGACAAGTTGTTGATGAAGACGTCCTCGGAGGCGGTTTCAAGATCGGATCTGCTATTGCAGGTGCTAGTGTGGTCGACGCAGAATCGATCTGCATTGACTCGACGATCTCTCCGTTGATGACCCAGGAGATCGATCCGACCGTAAAGATCTGGCCGGGCTTTGGAGAGGACGAAGCGCCTACAAAATGTACCATCTTGTTCATCATAGAAACAGCACGCACACCCCTACCTGGCGCGCCAACTGTCGACAAAATATCATCGGCAGTCCTTCAAGGGGTATCCCACGAAGGTAGATTGATCGACAGAGGTGCGCGTAATCAAGAACAAGAAGGCAACAGAGACATAAGAGTTAGACAGGTTCGGACCGTCAGCACGATGTAATACCCTACTCCTGTAGTCTGTAGGTTTATATTGGCTATCGTATGATATTGCGTGTGTTTTGAGGGGGTCCCCTACCTGCCTTATATAGCCGGGGGTAGGGTTACAAGTTGATTAGATCTAGGAGATAACCGGTAAGTAATAATAGATTACAGGGATCACGGGATCGTAACATATCCTAACAGATTACGCCGTATCTTCAAGATATTTTCCTGGTGTCTTGCGGGGCGCGCCGAGCAGCGTCGTGCTCCGCAAGGCTTTGTCTTGTGGGCTGGACCACCCCTAGCGGCGCAGCCGATGTAGTCTGCCGTGGGTATCCGGGGTCGTACCCCCCACAGTCCAAGTGTGGTGTGTGTTGACGGGGGGGCCTCTCCCTCTCTTATATACTAATCCTACATTGGTTTGCAGGGGGAATATTCCCGAGAATCAGCCCTCCACCGTCTTGGGGCACTGATGAGGGGTCCCACGTGCAGGTTCGGGGCTGGCGGTCCCTGGGGTTGAGCGACCCCAGGTGGCGCCTCCTCGCTACCGTCTTCCTCGGGGCGGTGGCTGGTTGGGCCTGGGCCGCGTCTGTGCGTCCTTGGGCCCAATTTTGTCAGGTAGGTGGGCCTATCCCCTTTAGTGCTTGCGCAGGATAGCTTTACGCTTTGTTCCTTTGCGCATTTTGAGCATGTTTTCGGTGGTTTTCATAAATGTGCCCTACAAAACACTTATTCTCCAATACATGTGGAAATATGTTCATATAAATAAAATATATGAGTAAGGCATGCTTGTTCTCCTCTTTTTCTATCTTATTTGACGATCGAATTTGGCCTTTAAGGACCGCCAACAGTGATGGCGCACGGGAAGCACGGTAGTGGGTGGGAAGGGTGGGCGCGTGCCAAAAAGAAATATCAAAGCGGTTCCACGCTCGCGGAAGCAAACGCGTGGCACTAGGTGCCGACCTGGTCAGCATATAACACATGCCCATATGCTGCCTCTATGTAACTGTGCAGCCTGCTTCTATCCAATTAATTTGTGATTTATTTCATATAATTCAAATATACCTTCTAAATTTCTTCTTGTTCAATAAATTTGTTAATAAGTTGTCCAAAATGTTTTCTGTGTTGTTCATGGGTTTTATCACTTATAAATGTTACCTCAAAAGATATTTTGATGCACTTTTAATTCGGAATAGAAGGAAATCCAACATAATTCTCGAAGATCAAGAAATTTCCTTGAAAGTTTAAATGAGATATTTTGTGCACACATGGAAGAGGCTTATGTACAAATTAAGTGTTACTAGGTATCCGCATGCTATGAACTGATGAAAAAATAAATATCATAAAAATTATCTTCTGAACGACAATATAAGATTTAAGAGAGATGATTTTCAAATGTAATATCGCATCAAATTCGCAAAGGCGCTAGTGGTCCTGGCTAGAGAAAACAGTACTTCCACAGTTCCACTTAATTTTCCATGTAGAGGTGTGCAGCCAAGCGTGGTTTAGCTTGCAAAACAAGGGGCGCGGCTAGTGCAAGGCTAGTAGGCGACTCCTGCAGACTGACAGTGCCAGCACCTGGAGGCTTGGTCCAACTGAATCCCTGCAAAAGCCTGGCGAACAAGAGCATTGTGAAGGAGGTACCAAGCGACACACCAGGGCAGCCTCTCCTCCCGGTGCCAAAGGTGACGAAGCGTAGGTCTGGTTCAGCGAGAACGACGACCCCAACCCCGTCGTTCAGATGGCGCTCAGGCCGGAACTCGAGCGGCTCTGGCCAGACTCTGGGGTTTTTGCCCAGCCCGATCCGGCTTACGATAACATGGCTGTCCTTTGGGATCAGGTAACCTGCAACGGTGGTGTCTTCCATGGCGACGCGGGGCGCGTTGATTGCATGGTAAGGGTGCAAGCGGAAGGCCTCCCGAATGCATGATTTCAGATAGTTGAGACTGCAGATGTCTGATTCCTGGACTAGCCTCTCTTTCCCAACGACTGTATCTAGTTCTTCCATTGCCTTGTGTATGACGTCTGGTTTGTTCATCGTTTCAGCTAGGGCCCACTCTACTGTGTTTGACGGATAGACCACTGATCCAAACATCAGTTCCGACATATATACAACACATACTAATCAATTAGTTGTTTCATGATAAAATATTATTCAATTAATCCTAATGATAAACTCACCACTGTATGTGCTTTAATCTCATCAATGGACAGAAGTGGCTGTCCATCTGCATCCTCAAGAGAAACCAGCACGTCAAGAATGTCTTCAGCATCTTTCTTCTCTCCAACTTTCCGACGACCATGAGACCGCTCATGGATCCTCTCATCTTTGATGGGGCCATGGAGTCGATCCAGTGTGCTCATCACGCCTCTGGCAACCTTCTCGTGGCCATCCAAGTCAAGGCCAACCAAGCGTGGGTAGTAATCTGACACGCAGAAGCTGTATACATAGTTGACAAGCGTGAAGAGTGCATCTATGTGCTCCTCCTCGTCAGCTCCAGGGCCAGCAACCGCCGGTGACGACTCGTCGAAGTACCTCTTGCCGAAGACGAGCCTCCGGATGACGTTGCCACAGAAATGCCGCGCTACGTGACGTATATCGACGCAGCTGCTGCCAGGTGACATGTTTACCAGACTGCAGACATACCTCACGAGGTGGTCAGCCTCGCGAACACGCTGGCCATGGAGCTGGTGCTCAAAAGCTGGGGAGAGGACTTCAGAGGTGAGGATCCTCTTCATCTTCTTCCACTGGTCTTCGAGCGTCGTCAAGCTCGTGGATTTGTACCCGTAGCTGAACAAGCTGGAGGCGAAGGTAGCCGGACGGGAGAAGAACACCGCCTCCTTCTTGCGAAGGACCTCACGGGCTATCTCCGGGGAGGTCACCACTACGACATGAACGGATCCAAGCTTGAGGGACATGATGTCGGTGTCCATCTTGTTGAGCACACGGTGGATCCATCGGAACACGGACGACTTGTTCCAGATCAACTGGTGCATGTTACCGATGAACGGCAACGTGGCTGGACCGGGGGGTAGCCGGCCTATCTCGCTTTTCCTGGAGGCTGCTCTTCTCTTGTAATGGAGCAGCGGCACAAGCACAAGGATGAGAGTGGTAGCCGTTATTGTCAACAACAATGGAACATGGATATATGGAGAAGACAGGATTTGTGACAGTGCTGTCGTCGTTTCTATGCATCTGGACATTGTTTGTCCTGAGCTAGCTACTGCTGCAAGCAGGTATGTGTGTAGAACAGCTCGAACTGTTTGTGCTCCAGGACACTGAAGCTAACCTATATTTGTGGGTATACTTATAGCAAGGACCCGGTGATTAACTCAAATAATTAAATGTATCTTTGAAAAGTTCTAGAGGATGCGTGCATTGCACATTGTCAACTATTGCCTATTGGATCAATATATCTTAAAAGATTACTAGTGGGTATAGATCGAAGGCACCTGTCCTAGTAGTAGTATGTTTCACAATGTTGATGCAGACAGAATGAACATACTACTAGATGAATAATTATCATAGGAAGTAAGTTGTGGGCTTGTGTAAGCCATATGACATAAGCATTTGACGTAATAGCTTAGTAATTGCAGTTTTACAGTACTTTATGACCCCCTAAAGACCGTACAAAGCTAAGCTAAGTCAATGCAAGCATATATAGCAACCAGCTCTTGCCAATATAAACACGAAAACACATGGAAGAGAACACGTGAATACGCGATATACATGACCTAGTATTTGCTGGGTAAGTATGTCAGAAAAATAATCACATCGAACTAATCATTTAATTTACCGAGACGAATCTAAGATCACATACAACACTAGACACATGATGTTTGTTGACGAAGATAGCTCAACTGAAATTGTTCTACATCCCAGTGTATGGCTATGGGAGCTAGCTAGCTCTTCCCCAAACCGCAACATCAGTCATTCTATGATCTAGCAAAGTTGTCGCATGAGTATGAGGATATACTGGGTATGTATTGTTGAAGGTACGGAGTATATTTGTTAGGAATGAACCAGCAGGTGGCCAAGGAGAAGAGTAGCTGAGTTGTCGCTTTGGGTTGTAATCCTGCTTGGTGTTTGTTGGCTCTTGTTGTACCAAAGCACTGGGCCACTGATTCCTGACCCAGTTGAGTGCATCTTTATTAGGATTAGACTTGACTGGCGGTCTGACTAGAAAAAATCAGAACTAGAAACTCGGCCGGTTCATTCCACATAAACCGGGATTAGAATGGACCGACGGTCTGACTAGAAAAAAAAATTTAGAACTAGGAACTCGGCTGGTTCGTTCCATATAAACCGAGACAATGGTTGAGTGTCTCGGTTGAACCTTTGGTTTTTAGAAAGGAACCAGTAAAAACCGGGTAAAACTGGACTCAAAAACAGCTGTAGGGGTTTAGACCCCAAGCTTTGGCTGCGAGGAATTCCACCATTGAGATGTGTTGTTGATCCTGGTATATAAATATCATTCTATTTGAACCACGAAGACGTACGGTTATGAATAACAGAATCCTAAAACCACTTCTCTCGAGTTGTCTTCTTCGGTTTATTATTTGATAGAGCTTCACTCCTAGATTCTTAACTCTAGACTTCTTAATTCTTTGTTGGAGTGGTTCTAGTTAATTTTGGTGTAGGAGCATGTGAGAATTGATTCTAGAGTAACTTTGGTGGAGTTTGAATAGGGAGCAGGAGCAAAGGTTTTTAAGCTCCCAGCTATCAGTGTAAATGTAAAAGCAATTCTTGTCTGCTCCCTACTGTTTGGCAAAGGGAGGTGGTTCTCAAGGAGAATCTGCTCTGAAAAGTTTGCGAAACGACCCTTTCCTCTCGAAATCCCTCCTGTTCATGCTTTTCCTTGGCCCTCCAATTCTCCGACAAAGTTCAGTTATCTTAACCATCTCCACAACAATTGATATTCAAAGCTAGCTATTCATTGCCAGGTAATTTTTTCTAAGGACTCCACCTTACCCTGATCTGGATTTGGAGCCGCCGCAGAAGCCAAACAAGTTTGAGGGTCTATTTGGTTCCAATATGACTGTGGCCTGTGAGCTGTGAAAAGCTGTTATGAGCTATGTGCTGCGAAAAAGTTACTATGAGTTATGTATTTTGACAAAGTTGTAAGTTGTTTGGTCAAAACAACCATGAAACATACATTCTTTCTTTATGTCCATTGTAAAATGTCTCTTTATTTCCATCCATTTGAAAAAGCAGAAAGTAGAAAGCCAAAAACAGCGACCAAGGTGTTGCAAAAATTGTACTACTCGAAAGCAACTGCTTCTAGAAAAGCAACTCTTGACTCTACTCGTTTGGTTGGTGTTTTGCTTTTTTGTAGCAGAAATACTTTCCAGAAGTTAAACTAATGCCTGAAGCTCAAATGGCGTCAAACATTGAGGGGCTAAGTGGCAGTTTTTGTTGGATTTTAATCGGGTTTGATCTAATTTTATTCAATTAAAGTCAAATAAAATTTAAAACATAGATTAAATGTTATGCTTGTTGCAATAAAGTCTTAGGGCCACAAACTCTATCATGGAGAAGCTCCACAAAACCTGGAGTTTTCATAGCACATCTTTAGGTGCTCTCACAATCCGACCTTTTCTCTAAAGTAGAATTGCACCTGTTTGGCCGAAAAACATGAAACAAAACAGACCAAACAGGCCCTTAGTTTGCCGCATGAAAATTTGACTAGATGTTGACTTAGTTTAGGGCCTGTTTGGATGCAAGGGCTAATTACTAGCTAGCTATAAATGAGCTAAAATTAGCTCTAGTGCATCCAAAAGGGAAGGCTAATAGGTTGGCTTTTTTGCTAAGTCTTTAAATAGTTGCTAGCCACAACTAATTTGAACTAATGTTTAGCTTTAACTAGTAAGAGCAACTAGCAGTAGCCCCAAAATATGGCTCCTATTTTTCATAAAGTTTTAAATCTCCGGCTATAGCTGTTCGAAGCTGATCAAGTTATTTGTGTTTATGTACAACTTAGCGGCTATAGCCCGCTATAGCCCTATTTAGCCCCCGCTATAGCTGTTTTAGAGGCCATCCGCTAAATACCTTTAGCCGGAGATTTAAAACCTTGATTTTTCATTTGAAGGCTCCCCTACCTTCGAGGTCCCTGTTTTCTAGGTTGCATTCCAACAATAGCCCTCAAAATAGAGCTCTCAAACTCATTTCAATGGAGAATGGTTCTTGGGACCCACTTGTCATTGACTTTCTCGGCCAAAACATTATGAATCGGTTGCGGAGAGTCACGCGGTCATGCCGTCGCCGAAAGGGAATCGCGTGGTCACTGGGGAGTCGGGTCCACTCTGCCAGAGGGAGTCGCACGGTCATGTTGCCGAAGGGGGGTCGCGCACAGGCAGGGAAGAGTAGCGGCCTGCACAAGCGGGGAAGAGGCAAGCAGCAGAAGACATGCAAGGAATGGACAGAAACCGTCATTTGAGGGATTGGCCTGGAGGCCCCCAAGAATGAGTGTGGGAGGGAGGATTCCGGTGTCTATTCAAATTTGAGCGCTCTAGTAGGAGCCCTACAGGAATTGTGTTTTTGACCTGGCACCCATCTTTAGTTGTGAGAGCTCAAGTAAAGGCGCTGTTGGAGTTGCTCTAGCTAGCCATATATATCCATAAACAGGTCCTTAAATTGGTGAAAGTTGTTTGCACATGTTATAAAGTTGATATAGATAAAATACGTGGCACGAGCACGGGTCAATCCAAGCCGACTGTCGTGTTGGGCATGGCCTGATAGAATTTTTCGGTGCTGATGTCTAGTCTCCCTGGCCCATTCCAGCTTATGCTCACATACTCACCCGTTCCTTTTTAACTGTCGTTCTCTCTTTTCGAGAAGTTAGACGTAATCAATTTTGACAAAATATATATATAAAATATTAATATGTTCAGTATATTATTAGTATCATTAGATAAATTTGAATCTATTTTTACAATAAACTTATTTAAAGATATAAATGTTGCTAATATTATTCTATAATCTAGTTAAATTTAATAAAGGTTGACCAGCATAAATATTATAGAGATATTTAAAAAGGATAGGGATATGTTGAGAAAGTTGAGCACGGAACCATACTTATGCATGAACGAACTAACTGCCTCTTATTCAGAGTACACAATGCAAGAAGAACATCAGATCGACCAGTCAGAGTCTCACAGATACAGGTTATTCTGAGCTCAGGGAGCTAAGACTATCTTCAACAACAACACCCAAAATACAAGACTCATTTAACGTTTGGGTAGCGCTACAGCCAAAAGGTTCGATACCCATTCGACATCTTCTCTAACAACAGAACCCAAAAGAGAATTATTTCTGCAAATAGGTTTTCAGGAGAGAAGATACCCATATTAGGGTTATGCCTCTCAGGCAACCTAAAATGAGTCTCCTATATAGATACTCTATTGGAGGCTGATTTTATGTCTCCTGCTATCTATTTTGGGTTTGGGTGCTCATATGAGTCATCTATTGGAGACAATCTAAGCTATATCCTCATCCTCCAAATCTAACTTTACTACTCCATGTAGTCCTCTCATAAATTAGCGAAACAACCCAAGCCGCAGTCCACGTGCATGCTACTATCACTGGGTCTCACTCTCATACAGATGCGCCGGCAGCCGTGGCGTCGCCTGCAGGACGAGCGGGTCGGCCAGCACAAGGCTCGCGGCGGCCTCCCGGAGCTGGATCCTGTCTACACCTGGCGGTTTGCTCCAGTGGAACCCCTGCAGGAGCCTCGCGAGCAGCATCACGGTGATGAGCGTGCCGAGCGACAGCCCTGGGCACCCCCGCCTGCCGGTGCTGAAGGAGATGAACCACAGCTTGGGCTCGACGAGCCAGACGACGACGCCGCTCGCCGTCCTGCCGACCGCTAGTAGCAGGTGCCGCTCGGGGCGGAACTCGAGCGGATCGTCAAACGCCCTGGGGTTCTGGCCGATGGCGACGCACGACGGGTTGAAGGAGTGGTACGGGTGTAGCCGGAACGCCTCGCGGATGCACGCCTTGAGGTAGCTGAGGTCACGCATGTCGGACTCCGTGACCAGGCGGTCCCGGCCGACGCCGGCGTCGAACTCGGCCATCGCCTTGGCCATTGTAGGCCCTGGGATCACCGGCTCGGGTGAGTCGACCGCTCACCGGCATTGTCGACCAGACACTATGGCTAGAGATAGAAGAAGGGAGGGAGAACAGAGCGCGTGCGCACACAGCACAAGCATCAATGTTGGTCGGAGCTCTGCAGAGGAGATGGCAAAACTGAACTCGCTCTCTTTACTGAGCTGTAGTGGGAAACTATATATACAACTCTACCCATCTAATCCTAGTACACATACATGTCATGCTGCCATGCTGCTACAGTGACTAGATATGACAGCAGGGCTGACTTTGGCACCTGCCCCTGTTGTGGCTACAATGCGGCAGGGGAGCCTTGCAGCGGCTACAGTGTAGAAGCAGGGAGCCTTTCGGCGCCTGTCCCTGCCGCGCGTTCATACAGGGGAGCAACAGATTACTTAACAATTCTTCCCCTAATTGCGCTGAACAAAGCCTCGGGCGACGAGGCGCGTCTTGTGCTTGACAATGACGACGCGCTCGTCCCGCTTGACCTTGTACACCCACTCCAAGCCACTCGGCCGTCTTCGGTTCACGGAGCTGAAGAAGATGATCGGCATGGTAAGGACGTCCGCGAGTTGCCAACCAGTTTTGATGAACTCGATGACGATCTGCTCTCCATCGACATGTCCCTGAGGAAGTGGAACTTGACGTCGATGTGCTTGCTCTGGTCGTAGAGAACCGAATTCTTCGCGAGGGCGATGGCAGGCTGGTTGTCCACCATCAGTGCTAGTGGGTGAGCTTCCACACCGGTCAACTCGCCCAGCAACCGACGCAGCCACACAGCTTGGCAGGCCACAGTGGCTGCCGCCACGTACTCTGCCTCGCACGTGGACAGCGCCACCACCTTCTATTTTAGCGACAGCCAAAAGATTGGAGCCGACCCGAGGAAGATGAGCACGCTAGAGGTACTCTGCCGTCCGTCGATGATGTCCCCCACCATGTCTGCATCGCTGAACACAGTGAGCTGCAACCCACTTCCATCGGTCTTAGGAAAGACGATCCCCTGATCCACCATCCCCTTGATATAGTGCAACAGCCGCTTCACCGCAGTCCAGTAATCCTCTTGGGGATCCTCCATGAAGCGGCTGATGTAGCCCACGACGAACGCAATCTCCGGCCTCATGTGGACTAGGTAGCGTAGACCGATGACGATGCTCCTGCAGAGTGTTGAATCTACCTTCGTCGTGGTACTGGCCTTCGTCAGCTTTAGCCGCTCCACCATCGGAGTCACGCAAGGCTTGCACTCAGCCATGCCGCTCTACTCCAACAGCTTTGAGGCGTACGCGCTCTGACCAAGCGTGAGTGCCTCCTTCCCCTGTCTCACCTCGATGCCGAGGTAGTAGGAGACTGCACCGAGATCGCTCATTCGAAAATGAGCCACCATCTCACGCTTGAAGCTGTCGATGTCCTCCGCACCGTCGCCGGTGGTGATCGAGTCATCCACATACACGCCGACGACGAGCTCCTCCTTCCCCCATCACCGCGTGTATAGCGCGTGCTTGGTTGCGCACCGTGTGAACCCAAGCTCACCCAGCGTGGTGTCTAGCTTAGCGTTCAACGCTCGCGGGGCCTACCGTAGCCCATAGAGCGCCTTGCACAGTCGGAGCACCCTGTGCTCTGCCCCCTTGATGGCGAAACCTGGAGGTTGCCTGACAAAGACCGTCTCAACTAGCTCGCCATTGAGGAAGGCCAATTTTACGTCCAGGTGATGGACACGCCAATCCTTCGCTGCTGCCAAAGCCAGCAGCAGTCAAATAGACTCCATGCGTGCTACCGACGTAAAGACTTCCTCGAAGTCGATGCCCTCGCGCTGGACAAAGCCTTGGCCGGTGAGGCACGCCTTGTGCTTGACAATGGTGCCGCGCTTGTCTCACTTGACCTTGTACACCCACTTCAGGCCTATCAAACGGCATCCTAGAGGTGGATTAACGAGCTCCCAAGTCTCATTTTCCTTGATCGCCTTCATCTCCTCCAGCATCGCCCATCGCCAATTCGCATCGCGCTCGGCCAGCGTGAACGTGGGTGGTTCCTCTACACTGACGAGAAGCAGCTCTGGGTCATTGAGCAGCCGACCCACTAGGCCTGAAAGCCCTGTGCCGCCAACGATGTCGTCTAGCCTACGGAACCACACCTCCTCACCATCGTGGAAGGCATCCACGAACTCAGTGATGTCGCTTGGAGGTGATGCGAACTTGATCGACGTCGATGGAGTCCCCTGTTCCGTCGGAGTGGTTGGCACAACACCTGGAGTGCTCGGCACTACTCCTGGACCGCTCATCACCACTCCTGGAGTGGTTGGCACCACTGCAGGAGTGGTCGGCACTAGTCTTGGAGTGGTCGGCACCACTGCAAGACTTCTCGGCTCCGCTAAGGGAGAGTTCAGCACCCGTCCTAGAGTGGTTGGCACCACTGCAGAACCGCTTGGCACCACTCCTGGAGTGCTCAACACCCCTCCTGGAGTGCTCAGCACCGCCCCAGGAGTGCTCGGCTCTGTTGCTGGAGTGGTCGGCACCTCCTCTCTAGCGTCTCCACCATCGTGGATGACCAAGTGCTCGACGACGAAGATGCTGGTGAAGTCGCCAGCTTCCCCTGTGCCCGGACTGTTCCAGTCCTAGGCCGCCTTCTCATTGAACACAACATCGTGCGAGACAACCACCTTGCCTTCGCGTGGGTCATAGAGCCGGTATGCATTGGTACCTTCCACGTAGCCTAGAAGCACCATCGATGTGCTCCTATCCTCCAACTTGGTGAGGACTGGCTTCGTCTTTCTGACATGGCCGATGCAGTCGAATGTCCAGAGGAAGGACACGCTCGGCTTGCGCCCATACCAAGCTTCGAACGGTGTCTTGCCCTTCAGGGCCTTGGTGGGCGCGCGGTTGAGGATGAACACCGTTGTGGTCACCGCCTCACCCTAGAACGTTGTCGGCATGCTCTTGGCCTTTGAAATGATCAAGATGCCCAAGAGGGGGGTGAATTGGGCTAGTTCTAAATTTCTTTGCAATAATTGAACCCTACGGTTAGCCCAACTTCACCCCTTGTGCCTAGAAAGTGTTTCTAATGTTCTACCGCACAAAAAGTCTTGCAACCTAAGTTCCAATCCTACTCTAGCATGGCAATTCTATGAATGTAAAGACAAGAATTGAATTGCTCAAAGTAAATGCTCAATGTAAAGAGAGAAGGAGGAACGCGGTGATGTTTTGCTGAGGTATCGGAGAGTCACCACTCTCCACTAGTCCTCGTGGGAGCACCTACACAAGGTTGTAGCTCCCCCTTGATCCACGCAAGGATCAAGTGCTCTCTACAGGTTGATTCTTTGACACTCCGTCGTGGTGAATCACCCACAACCGCTCACAACTTGAGTTGGGTCATCCACAAGCTCCACCGGATGATCACCAAGCTCCCAATCACCACCAAGTCATCTAGGTGATGGCGATCACCAAGAGTAACAAGCACGAACTCTCACTTGACCACGACAAGCCTAATGAGAAGCGTGGATGCACACTTTGCTACTCTTTCTTTCACTAATGAGGGCTCTCTTTTGGATTCTCAAATCTCAATCACCTCACTAAGACTTTGCTCTTCTTGACACTCTCAAGGGTGTTTCTCAGTTGTTGGAATGAGCAAAAAGTACCCCCTCACATGAATGGAGGAAGTATTTATACACCCCATTAAAAATGAACCGTTATGTGCCTCTGCGGGGTGATCGGACGCTCCGGTCAAGTTGACCGGACGCTCCGGTTAGTTCACCCCGAAACCCAGTGTTTAAGTTGTGACCGGACGCTGGACAGCGTCCGGTCACGATTTTCCCTCTATGGAACCTTACTGGAGTCGACCGGACGCTGGCACCCAGCGTCCGGTCGGTCACCTCTCAGCATCCGGTCGCACCAGACGAATTCACCTTGATCAAATGAACTGACCGGACTCTGCGCCAGCGTCTGGTCAGCATTTGACCCTCCATTCACTTCCATCTCGCAATCATATGTGAATGAAGTTTGCTCCAATTGATCTAAGGGCTGTTTTGGAGCTATCTAGTGCTAGTTTTGACAAGTGTGCACCACACCTAACCCACTAGACTCACCTAGGTCAAGCTACCCGTCCATACCCCCCTTAATAGTATGGCCAAAGGAAAAACAAAGTCCTAAACTATTCTAAGTGTCTCTTCAACACCAAACGACACTTAGAACTAGTCCATCCTTAACCTTGTCGTCCATCCTTTGAAAACCAAAACGATTTCCATCGTAGGGGCATGACAACCATGATTGCCCAATCAATTTCCATTACCGTGACCTAACTTAATTGCCTCTACAAAACACACGTTAGTCACAGTAATCACGTATTGTCATTAATCATCGAAACCCAACTAGGGGCCTAGATGCTTTTAATCTCTCCATTTTTGGTGATTGATGACAATACAACCTCGAGTATGTGAAAGAGATGAGGTTTTAACATGCTTGGTTCATATAAGCTTTTTACAATAAGAACAAAAGAATTAGGCAAGCTTATATGACCCAAGCCAATATGATGTACTCAAAAGATATAAAATAAGCATGAGTACTAGTAATAAAGCTCATTTACATCAGAGTAAAACGCGGAAGCAAAGCAAATGAGCATAACACAAGTGATATGACATATAAGGAATTCAAAGTAGAGAGCACACATGTCAAATATCACATAACTATCACGGTCACATAGATATCACTATCACATAAATATAGTTTGATGCATGAAAGTAAACACATGAATGCATAACAGTATATCACACATAAAATGCCAAAGGGTCGGTCGGTAGGGCTACAGCGGACGAGTCGGGCGCTGAGGTGCGAGGAGCGAGCTGGAACTATGTGCCATCATCATTTGATCCTAAGCTCTGAGCTGTCTGACCCTCTATAGCTAGAAGCGATGCTGAAGCGGTCTGGGTCAGCTCAGGGACTGGTGTGGCCTGTGACTCTGCAGGTATGACTGTAGCAGGCGG